GTTCCTTGATTCTGTCAGCTCATCCATCAGTTTCAATATCACTGAAATGGCACAGTAAACTTTGTGCTGCTTCTGTTCTCTCACTGCTAAGGATTTTAGTTCTTTAATAATAAGTTTTTCTTCATATTTTAGAACATTGATGATCCTACATTTGCTGTCTGAGACTTACAATGGAGCCTTAAAATACTTCCAAGATCTTGGAGTTTTTTTCTGCTTTCTTTACATGAGTGTATAAGGTTACTTTAACTCATGTCTGGATAATACAAATTGTTTTTCACATTCTCATGTTTAATCTGTGATTGTTGGTCAAGTTTTACAAAATCACAAAATAGTTGAGTTTGGAAGGGACCTCTCAAGGTCATCCTTCCCAACCTCCCTGGCTGAGTATGATTTCTAGATTTTGAATCCATGCTGCCTACCCCAATCACTTTCTTATCCTTGATACACCCTTCACCAAACCTGGAAATGGATTCAAGAATGAGTTAATTCCCCACCTTGCGAGGTATCAAGAACTTGCCTATCCTGTAGTTCTCTGAGTCTTCCTTTCTTGAGCATAAGAGTGGCATTGACTTTCCTTCAATCCTCAGGCATCTGACCAGCAGGTTCTTGCTCGGCCATCCAAGATTTCTGCCCATCCTGCTTGCTTTCTTACATATGGGGATGGAGAATTCTTGTGCTCTAAGAAAAGTATCCCTTAAAGAGTTGCCAGCTCTGTTCAGCTCCTCTGTCCCCAAGGACAGTGTTCCAGGCGATCTCATCCACTAGGCCTTTAAATAGCTCAAAGTTTGCTCTTCCGAAGTTCAGGGTCCTGACTGCTCTTCATCAGGTCCATACTCCTTGAGATCACAAACTCAACGAGGGTATGGTCACTACAGCCCAGACTGCCTCCAATCTTAACCTCTTTCATGAGTTCATCTGCATTGGTGAGCACCAAGTCCAGTGACACTTCTCCTCTATCTGATTTGTCATAGCACGTGGACAGGGAAGTTATCCCCAACACACTCTAGGAGTTTCCTGGATTGCTCACAGCCTGGTGCGTAGCTTTTCCAGCAGACATCCAGGTGGCTGAAGTCCCCATCAGGATGAGAGTGTGCGAGCATGACGTTTCTTGTACTTGAAGCCAGAAGGCCTCATCAACAGGCTTCCCTTGATCAGGTGTCCTGTAGTAGACCCCAACCACAAGGTGTCTGGTCTAGGCCTTAGCTTTTACCCACAAGCTCTCAACCTGTCCATGGCTGTTTCTCAGAGACAACTCTTCTCAGTCAATCCATTCCTAACATAGAGGGCAACAGCCCTGCCTCTCCTTCCCTGCCTGTCTCTTCTGAAGAGCGTTTAACCCTCTATTCCAGTGTTCCAGTTATGGGATCCAACCCACCATGTTTCTGTGATAGCAATCAGATCATCTTTTCCTGCTTGTGCTGTGGTTTCCAGCTTCTCCTGCTTGTTTCTCATGGTTGCATCACCTTTTCAGAACCCTTCCTAATTCCTTTGGGGCAATTCTCAAATATTCCCTGTTGCTTCTCACAGAGACAATGTCCCTAGGTTCATTTCCATCACTCAGAGGTACATTCCATTTCCCCACTGAACCTAGCTTAAATCCCTGCTAATGGGTCTGGCCAGCTTGCTGCCCAGAACCCCTGCTCCTCCTAACCAGGTGCACCCTATCCTATGTCAGCATACACAGTCTCTCAAAAGTATATCTGAAATCATAGACCTTGACCATGGCACCAATCCCACAGCCAATTGTTCACTTTCTGTGTTTGTTTCCTTTTTCTTGGGTCCCAGTCACCAACTGGGAGGGTGGAGGAGAACACTACTTATGCTCCTCATCCCTCCAACATCTTTCTGAGGGACAAAAAGTCCTTTTTGATATTTCATAGTCTCTTTGTTGCAGCTTCATTTGACCCTACATAGAAGATCAGGAATGGATGGTAGTCTTCTGACCCACCTGGGTTGGTAACTTCTTCGTAGTGCCACAAATGTGAACCCCGAGCAGGCAACAAACCTCTCTGGAGAGATTATCTGGACAGCAAATCAGTGCCCCTGTGCCTCTCAGGTAGCAGTCTTCAATTACTAACACCCTTCATGCTTTTTTTTTTTTGGAACTGGTTCTGATGCCAGCCAGTTGACTGGGCATACTTTGTATGGTTGTTCTTTCATAGGTCTTTACCATTACTCACACTGTTTCCTGTTTCCAGCCCTAGATTATTGTATGTATCGTGTACAGGCCCTTCAGGGGGAATTCAGGGGGAATGGAGAGACTTATATACGGTTGTTATACCATCTCTGTATTTTTCTCCGACATCTCCTACACATCAGTGATGAGGATTTCATTAAACGCCTATGACCTTAAGGACCTGAGCACGGGAGTACAGTTTTCTGTTTTCCTGATCAGAAACAAACATTCTCATTTATTTGTCCACTTCAACCTTGAAATCCGGTATTCCAAGAGGTAATGAGATGGCAATAAGAAAACATTTTTTGAGAAGATGGTTCTAGAGCATTAACACATGTGTTGCCTGGAGCCCTCTCACTCCTGATCTTTTTCACTCTATTGAAGGTAAAGTGTTATAAGTTCTGAAGGCCTTTTGTAAGATTATGTGAATAAAGTTAAAGGTATAGCCAAAAATTTCCAAATTATTTATTAATGAGAGAGTCTTTGCTGAGATGCATAAAGCTAAATCATATAACGATATAGGCTTCTGTCTTTACTAATTTAATTGCCTTGTCTACATTCCATCATTTCACTTCTCATTAGATTTGCATTATGCTACAAATATTATAGTCATTTTTCTGTTTAAATTCGTGTACAATATTCACGCTTCTCTGAACTCTGTATTTTCCCAGAATGCCCTGATTTTCCAAATGGAATCTAGGGTCCTACAATGTTTTACATAGCATTTACCATATCAGTGCAAATTTCTCATCTATTTTACAAGAAGTGCAAGAAGTTGATGCCCTGTCTTACAGAGCAGAATTTTTGCAGATTTTTTATTACTGATATTTCTGGAAGCACACATAGTGGTTTCTCTTTGTAATTTAACTAGAAAAAAATATGTGACTGAAGTTAGAAATATTACATTACAATTTCTGCTTTGTTGAAAAAGGATTTTTGTAGTTTTAAAACTGATTCTCTTCTCACAAAACAGAGGGAAAAGATGGATGCCATACCAGGGTCTGTTTTTTCATACTACTGATAATATCCTTTCCTTCATTACAAATGATACAGATTCACTCACACAATACTGTGGATTCTGAGGAGTTCCTCCCTTATCTCTCATTTCTTCAATTAGTGGAATACCTGGTAAGGGTGCCGGGCTTCTTATTTTTTAACTAATTCTTCTGAATTAGGACAAGTTTTGGTTTTAGTTTTGTTTGGTTGTTTGCTTGGTTGTTTTGGCACATACATATGAATGTCTTTGTTCTAGTATTTTCCTTCAACAATTGGTATGAACATTTCTAATAAGTTTTAAAATGCTTAAAAGAACCTTTTTTTTTTTTTTTTTTTTTCAGAAAGCCCAGTGAAATTAAGATTTTTCAAAATGTCAATGGTAATAATTATTCAATTTTCTCTTCCTTCTTACCTAGGAATTTTAAAACAGTATGGAACCCCAGAAGTTCAAAAGCACTTCATAAATAGTTGGCTCTCTACATAACATGCAAAAGAAGAACACTATTATCTGAAAGTAGTCTGCCACTTATTAATGCATGTATTATTACAATTAATATTATTAAATATGGATAGCAGACTTCATCTTCAATCTCATCTAGACTGTACATACATACATATTTCTATGCCAGTATTATCATTATTTATTTAATTATTTAATTTTATTATTATTATTATTATTATTTATTTAATAATTATTTAAAACAGTGTTTGGAGTAGATTTCTTTTGATATAATTGAACAAGTTTGAAATGAAAGCTTTAGTTTAATGAGTTCTTGAGATAGGCCAAAATTTTGTCTGTTCAGGCTTGTTCAAAAAAAAAAAAAAAAAAAAAAAAGGATGTACCAAGGTTCTCCTGTAGAAGAAAATTAAAAATTAAACTAATATATATATATGTATGCACTAGAAAATTACAATGAACTAATTAATAAAAAATTACTAATGAACTAATGAAAGTCTCAATGAAAAGAGAACAAGTTCAGACTTGAAAGTAGAATCACAGAATCATCTAGGTTGGAAGAGACCTCCAAGATCATCTAGTCCAACCTCTGACCTAACACTAACTCCACTAAAACATATCACTAAGCTCTACATCTAAACGTCTTTTAATACTTGCATTTAATATCAAAACTTCAGGTTACATTACAATTTTCCAGTTCAAGTTGACAATTGCCTTAACCTCATTTGTGGAATAGCTTTATGGCACAAATAAAACCTAAGAATGACTGTCATATAAGGAAAAAAATATATTTTAATTTATTTAAAAATGTTTTTATTTATTTATTTATTTACTATTATTTATTTATTTATTTTTAAAAATATCTATTCTTTCTGGCCTGTGATAGAAAATAATGGAGAATAGTTTGAGCTTGCCTTTGAAAAAACAGCAAGACTTGAAGATTATATCTAGCAAGATTTCAAAGAGTAGTGGAAGACATGGTAAAATCTTCAGGGCATAGTAAACTAAAGTTTACTTTATATTTGCTTGTCTTAAGCTAACTGAGTTCAATGGCATACAAATGAAATACCAATGTTATCAGGCCCTCTAGATCATTCAGGGTACTTCTGTTTCTCTGTCAAAGCATAATTATGCAATTTTTCCCATAAAACACTATGTCTACATTGCAGTAATTTAGCATTAATAGACATCTTGTTTTCCCTATCACTTTCATAATACATAAAGTTGATAAATGGAGCTCCCAACAACCTCAATGCCATTTGTCAAATTATTCTTGGACCGGGGACAGATCTCTGATTCCGAAGCTGATGCTGCACCTCCAGATAAGATTCATATTACATCAATATGTGTTTTCAGGGAAAGACATACAGGTAGAACTATTGCTGCCTTTTATTTTATATCTAATGCAAGCATAAATATTGTCTATATTTAAAACAATGCAATTTACCAAAGTCTGTGATAAAGTAAATTTCTAAAATCTGCGGAGTTTTGGAAATTATTTCAAGATGGCTCTGTGGAGATACACACTCGCACAGAGCTCTGTAAGAAATAGGAGGCTGGAGCTGCTCTAATATTTCTTCAGTTGCATCTTCCTCAGCCACAGCTCAATGACACTGGCAGTCCTCTGGCCCTGTGAAAGAAAAGGAGATTTTTAGTTTCCTATTACTTATAAAAACTACAGCCTTTTTTAATAAAAGATACACCATGGAAATACGGTTATTGAAAACAACAGTTACAACTCTCTTTATACTTCTCTTTACACTTCCAGAAAGCTTTCAGAGACTCTTTCTTGCCACCCCTGAACAATTATTAACCTCAGCTTAGTGACACTTCTCCTTTCTTCCTTCGTAAGTCTTTAAATTAGAGTTATCAGAGATCATTAGAAATAAAAGTAGTTAGGGACAACAAAAATTGTAACAACCAAAGAGAAACAGATTCAATCACAGAATCAACAGCTCCTTGAATCCTTTTCTCTGTTTGGTTGTTGTTGTTCTTGTTTTGTTGTTTTTATTTTCTTCATTTTCTTCCAAAGCTAAGAGTCTACTTGGAAACAAACTGGAAAAATCAGATGTCTGGCAAGGTGGACACAGAGGGAGTGGAAGGCACTGCTGTTTCCTGCTGGCCACTCTGTGCCTTGATCCCATGGACATGAAGAGTGTCAGGGTTAGACTTCCTCTGTTGAAAGCCCAACTGTTGACCCATGTGTATAATAAAAAAATGTAATGTGTGTAAACATTTTGGTGCCATCAACACCAAATACATTTCCTTCTAGTACCACAGTGCTTCATAAATGCAGTTTCTTTGTGTGACGTAGTGAGAAAGTGTTTCAGCCAGTTTAGTTAGAATCACAGAATCACAGAATTTCTAGGTTGGAAGAGACCTCAAGATCATCGAGTCCAACCTCTAACCTAACACTAACAGTCCCCACTAAACCATATCCCTAAGCTCTACATCTAAACGTCTTTTGAAGACTTCCAGGGATGGTGACTCCACCACCTCCCTGGGCAGCCTGTTCCAATGCCTCACAACCCTTCCAGTAAAGAAGCTCTTCCTAACATCTAACCTAAAACTCCCCTGGCGTAACTTTAGCCCATTCCCCCTCGTCCTGTCACCAGGCACGTGGGAGAACAGGCCAACCCCCACCTCTCTACAGCCTCCTTTAAGGTATCTGTAGAGAGCGATAAGGTCGCCCCTGAGCCTCCTCTTCTCCAGGCTGAACAAGCCCAGCTCCTTCAGCCGCTCCTCGTAGGACTTGTTCTCCAGGCCCCTCACCAGCTTTGTCGCCCTTCTCTGGACCCGCTCAAGCACCTCGATGTCCTTCTTGTAGCGAGGGGCCCAAAACTGAGAACTTAAGACATGACCACTGAAAATGTTATGTTAGCTTTTTACTTAGCACAACAAACCTGAATTACTCTTACCTAAGCTGGTAAGTTTTAGTATAGTTATAATTTCATGTAATTCTTTCCTTTTCATTTAGTGTAAAGAAAAGCATAAGGATTTTCAGATTTAATTGCTTCAAAATCCTGAGTAACTCAGAAATACCTTGAGATTTGCTCTTCTTTCAGTATTTTTCTCCTGTAATTGCTCAGTAAGCAGTAATGTTTAGTCACATAGGAACAATATCATAAAAACAATCACAGCAGCAAGCACAATCTCTTATTAAATTTCATAAAACTTTTAGTCTCCTACGTGTTTTCCTGTAGAGGTTACGCAACACAGCCTAGAAGCAATCCTAGCATACAGCTCTATGTTTGTTTTTTTTGTTTGGTTTGGTTTTGTAATTATTACCTCATTCTGCTTTAAAAAAATAAACTAATAAATAAAAATAAGAAATAGTAGTATAATATAAATAATAATAATAACAAAATAATAATAAAAAAAGATTTTACTCTTTGCAACTTTAGTCTTTGTCTTGAAAAACACACAGACTCTGAAAAGCACAGATAATTCACAAGATTTGCAAGGTTGTTCTCTGATTCTGTTCATTGCTTCTGAGAAAACAAGTCTGAGACTTAGAAATTAGGAGTAGGTTCATTTGGAAACAAAGCAATTTACAAAGTGGTAAGAATTAATCCAAAGGCTTCTCATTAGGGTTTTAAGAGGTTGCTGTTTCAAAGTTTCTAATGCTTCAAATCATCCATGCTTATAGACATGCTTAAAATATTCATGGTCTATAGATCTCTGATGGGAAAATACACATCAAGAATCTGGCATCAGTGTGTGAATTTTTTTATTTATTTATCTGAAAAAATATGATTCAATGTTCTCTAAGGTGTGGATTTGTGAATTAATACTGCCAAATTTAATTGTTATTAGAACTGGTAAGAAATACTTATCCTTGTATCATGTAAAACATTGCATTTCTGGCAAGTATATTAATACAGCTAATTCTTATCATGTATAGTGAATAGATTTTTTTTTTCATTGATTTTGAAAATTATATTTTCAGTCTACAATTTGTTAACTAGACAAAAATGTTTTCTACCACGGTAGGTTTTTGTAAAAAAATCAACACACAATTCATTGGAAGAGAATAAGGTATTCAGCTGTTTTTAACAAGCTCACTCTGTGAGGCAATGCTGATTTAGATGTGTAGAGAATCTTCCCTACAATACTCTTTTGTAAAAACTAATTGTTACTCATAGTAATATGATAATATGATGCATAAACTTTATCAAAAATCATATTAATTAACTCTAGCACTGATCATTAGTTCATGCAGCATAATAATCAGTTCCAGAATCGACAAATCCAACATTCTCAGTTAATTTATCTGTTTTAAAAAGGAGCCAGCTCTAACACCCTTTTAATAAGCTGAAAAATGAATCCCCGATATTTGATAGATCAGAAAATCCTAATCAATTTACATTTTATTAGAAAAGCTTGAATAAGCTTATGTTCATAATATATCACTACTGGAGTCTGGCAAAGATTTATTGTATCTCATATTCTTGTATACTACCTTTAGTCTTTTTATTTTGTTGACTACAAGGGGGTGCACTCATATTGGGTTTTGGGTGTTGGCATTTAAGTCCTCTTTATAGTAGAATTCAGGTCAGCTTTTGTGCCTGTCTTAATTAGGCACTAAGAATTCTTTTTAAAACATCTTGAGAGTGCCGAAAATTACACTAGCTCTGGCAAAGCTGATTTTTTTTTATTTTTTTTTAAAAGTAAGATACCATGAACACCATTTTGCACGTGCCTGGGAGTGGATACAATTTTAGAATTCCTTATATTCCTTATTACTTCAATACTTGGGACCAAATTTTTCCAGGAGTAAATCTGCTTCACTGAATTCATTGGAGCTGAAATAGTTTTACAAAAGATTTCCAAGAGATTCTACCCTCTTCCCTCCCACCCCTCCAATATTATCAGTGCCTGTATTCCCTTGACAGCATCTCCAATGCAACTGTCCATGAGCACTGTACAGGGCTTGCTCTAGCTGATCTGCATGCACATTTAAAATTAACTGTGCAAAAATCTAAATTGCATTAGTCCAGATTATACCCTACTCCTGAGTTACATTTTGGGCTGTACCTTGCTATAATGTATAATACTAATAATATAAAACATAATCATGTGAATAATTGAAACCGCATTCCTTGATTTCAGGTAAACACAAGTGGATTCAAAAATAACCAAGTGTGTTTAGGTACACTTCTGTGTGGAGAAAAAGATTAATCTAAGGCAAAGATGATGTTTGTGTACTAATGAAATTAAAATGCCCATAACTATTTCTTCACCATATCCTGCCTTTTAGAAACTTTTTGCTTGTCACAGAGTTAAGATATATCAGCTTCACAGAACTGCGGAATAACCGAAGATGACAGGCATTAAGGAGATCATCTATACAACCCACAGGTCATATCAGGTTTCCCTACAGAAATGTGTGTCCAGTCAGGTTCTAAATATCTCCATGGAGGGAGACTCTACAACCCCTCTGAGCATCCTGTGCCAGTATTCATCCAGCCTCAGAGTAAAGAAGTTTTAAAGTTTAAATAGAATTTATTGTATTTCATTTTTTGCCCATTGCCTCTGATCCTTAATCCCTGAGAACAGCCTGTCTCCATCTTCTGTGTACCCTTCAGGTATTTGGAAGCATGAATACTATCCTCCTGAGCCTTCTCCTCTCTGGTCCATTCTCCTTATATCAGAAATGCTCTAGTTCCCTCAACATCTTTGCTGACTTTCGCTGGACACTCTCTGGTATGTACATGTCTTTTTTGATATCAAGCCCAGAACTGGATCCAACCATCCAAATGTGGCCAGGGCCGAGTAAATCACCTTCATTAACCTGCTAGAAACACCCCTTCTAATGCAGCCTATTATGTTCTTGACCATATTTGCTGTAACGACACATTGCTTGCTCATGTTTACCTTCCTACCTTCCCGTTCACAAGGACCTTCACATCTTTTTCTGCATCGCTCCTTTTCAGTCAGCCCACAGCACATAATGGTGCATGGATCCTCTACCAACAGAAGGCTTTTCTGTTGTGTTTTATATTCCTTATCCAGTCCAAGTCCAGGTGAAGTTTTTCTTTCATATCACACTCCCTTCATCCTTCAGCAATGTCTATATATCTCCTGGATCATCTTACCCTGCTTCTTGTGCACTTTCTTTCTGTGTTTCTGAGTTTTATGAGATTTCTTACTCATCCACACAGGCATCCTGCCACCGTTGTTTGATAACCTACATGTAGAGATGGACTGTTCCTGAGCTAGGGGGAGATGATCCTTGAAAATTGAATCATTTCTTCTCTAGGGATGTCTCCCATGGGATTCTTCTAAGCAGAACCAAGAAGAGGCCAAAGTGTGCTCCCCTGAAGTCTAAATTTATTTTAAAGTCTACTTTTTGCCTTGTTTCCTCTCAAGATTTTGAACTCCACTGTACCATGATTACTGCAGCTAAAGCTGCCACCAGCTTTCACCAGCCAGTCATTCCTTATTCATAAGAATCACATCTTGCAGAGAATCTCCCTTTGTTGATTCTTCATTCACCTGTGTTCCAAAGTTGTCATCAATGCACTTCCAGAAACTTCCTTGATTGCTTATTCTGTGTTGTATTATCCATACAACAGATTCAAGAACATTAGAACTACACCAGTGAGGACTAGGGCCCTAGAAGAGGAAGCTTCTTTCATTTTTTTGAAGAAAACTTCACCTTCTTCCTGACTAGGTCCATAGATATTATACTATGTTACAGTAGTAACTCCACTCTTGTCAGTCTGCCTGTTAAGCCTGAGCTGTAACTCCTCAGCTGTCTCCTCACACATTCCCAGGACACTTAAAAGATTCTGATGCGAAACCCAGAAACTGGTAAACAAAATACTGCACTGTTATCTATGCCTCTGTTTTGTACATTAAAAATAAATAAACAAATAAATAAATAATTAAATAAATAAATTTTCAACTCAGGCACTTACTGATCTAAATATAGGCTTAGAAGCACAAAGGCAATTACCTAGAGATAATTAGCCACTTGCATTAAAAATAAATAGAAATTTTACAACAGTTCTCTAAAATGGAAGTTAAATTAAGAAACAAGAATACATTGGATCTATATGGTAGGGAAAATAAGGTCACCCTCCTTAATAAAACAGCTCATCAGCTGCTGTCACCTCTTGTGTTCATGTATAGATCGCTACAACCTACTTTTCTGGCTACAAATAGAAAAAAAGCAAGCTTCCTTATCCACTTTTCATCACAGCTGCTCATATATATTCAAAACCCACATTAATTCTAACCCATTTGGGTTAGACCAGTCTTCCTTAGGTAATTTGGAAGAAATCATATTGACTAGTTATTTTGCTCAAATCTTCTCAATAAGAGTTAATTTCTTCAAAGACATATTAGTCATTGAATACCTAATTCTTATAATATCAAAAATGTAATTTTCTTTGATAATTCAGAACAAAAATTTCACAGCAGGTTTATAAGTATAATGTACCTGAAGGCCATTGAAAAGGATCTCTACTGTAAAATATACAGAGTTAAAACTCTTGATTAGACACCAATTAAATGCACGATAGTTACATAAAGGCTAAAGTGAAGCTCCTTATTAGCCAGTTGAGAGGCCAGTTCAGAGATGGAGGAAAAAATACAGTAACAGAGGAAAGAGTTTACTTTCTTTTTCCTTGGTGTGTTTAGGTGGAAAGCTATCATGCAAAGATGAGAGAGCAGCTGGAGAAGGGAAACATGTATGACACATTTTTAAATTAAGATTATTTTTGGTTTGAGACAAAGTAGATAAGTTACAACTATTTCTGTGTTGCAATGAATGAAGTGACCTGATACAGCAGGGAAAAAATGTGGCCTGTGAACAGACCTGTAATTTTTTTTTTTCTAATTTTTTAGAGAAGATCCAACCTGGACACTTACTATTTCAGGTCCAGATAAAACACATGGAAAGACTGCTGCTTCCGTTGGGAAACATGAAATAAGGAGATAGAAATTTAGGAAGAATGTGTGACTCCTGTCACGGGAAAGATGGAAATCGAGGGCTTCTTGCTACTTACTACTTACTTGCTTTAAACAGCAAGGAAGCTCCTAGCTGCGGGTGGCAAATCCGTCTCAAGGCAGTTCACACTATTCATTCTGCAAACATTGACTGGAGAGTTAAACCTAGTTGGCTCAGCAGGCCTTTATCTAACAGAGCAAGGAAGGAGATCTGTATGCATGTTCTCAAGTCACAGGCTAGAAAGGAGAAAGACAAAAAGTAAGATCAAAGGAATGGGGCAAACACCACAGACACTTAAATTACACCATTCCATTTTTTGCTTTGTTTTCTTTTGTTTTGTTTGTTTGCTTTTTCTTTAAGACAGTCTGTAGTATGAGCGGTTTCTTTTCTTTTTTCTTTTTCTTTTTCCTTCCCTTTCCTTCCCTTTTCCCTTTTCCCTTTTCCCTTTTCCCTTTTCCCTTTTCCCTTTTCCCTTTCCTTCCCTTCCCTCCGCTTCCCTTTCCCTTTCCCTTTCCCCTTCCCTTTCCCTTTCCCCCACCCCTTCTCTTTCCCTTTAACCCAACACTTCTCTTTCCCTTTTCCTTTCTCTTTCCCTTTTCCTTTCCTTTCTTTCCTTCCTTTCCTTTCCTTTCCTTTCCTTTCCTTTCCTTTCCTTTCCTTTCCTTTCCTTTCCTTTCCTTTCCTTTTCCTTTCCTTTCCTTTCCTTTCCTTTCCTTCTTTCCTTTCCTTTCCTTTCCTTTCCTCTTCCTCTTCCTTCCCTTCCCTCTCCCTTCCCTTCCCTTCCCTTCCCTTCCCTTCCCCTTCCCTTCCCTTCCCTTCCCTTCCCTTCCCTTCCCTTCCCTTCCCTTCCCTTCCCTTCCCTTCCCTTCCCTTCCCTTCCCTTCCTTCCCTTCCCTTCCCTTCCCTTCCCTTCCCTTCCCTTCCCTTTCCCTTCCCTTCCCTTCCCTTCCCTCATCTTTTTTTTTGTCTTTTTTTTTTTTTCCCCATTATTTTTTCCACTGCTCCTGTCTGAAAAACTCATGAAAATCTGTGAATGGTGAATGTAGCATTAAGTTTTATACCTTTTCCTTCTTGAGACATTAGAAATGTCTTTTCTACACAAAGCAACAACTACTGTTAAGGAACAAATTGATACTTACCTACACAACATACCACATTAATGAACTTCAGAGTGTACATGAATTCTGAATTTAGTAATTCAAAAGTTCATTTTTAAAATTGCACTTTAGTTTAGCCATTTTAAAAGGCAATTGAATTACTTCTATTTCAGGTAAAATTACCAAAAAAAAGGTAAGAAAAAGTACAGAATTTCAAAACAATTTCAAAATTCTTATTTCTTCCATTTTTGAAGACCCACAATATATTGTGTTTCAGTGATTTTGTCACATGGAGGCAGTGATCTAGGGTACCTCAAGGAAAACACTTACCAAATTAGTCTGATATAAATAGCTGCTGAGATTAGTGCCGTGAGTATATTTCTCAGCTAAACCACGTGATTTTTTTTTTTTTTTTTCAGTGAATCATATATTCTGTACAATGATTTGTACAGTCTCAAACTATTTACAACTCCAGTTCATAGTCTTCAGGTATAACCATTCTTTTCAACACACTTGAATGATGACTGCAGTGACCAATTACTAATTAGACATTTCTGCTTGCTTAGTGACTTTCCAATCTTGTGGTCATTTCCATGCAGGTGAAACCAATCCCTCATGCTCACTTTTAAGGATATCTATAGGACACTTAAAGGACCTTCATGCAGGGTGAAGGTGAAGACTGAAAACTTTGAGGCTTTCCTTTCTTTTTTTATTAAAAAAAAAAAAAAAAAAAAAAAAAAAAAAAAAAAAAAAAAGTAATACTGGTAATACTGATACCATGTACTGGCACATCTGAACAACATCTGAACAATACATGGCATTGAATGGTAAGGATGCTCCATCAGTTCCTCCATTCCTCCCTCCCTCCACTTTCATGTGCCCTCAAACTGCAGAAATGGGTCAGACACAGGCAAAGGCATAGGTACAAGAACAGGTTCTCTTGTGAAACAGTAATAAAGAGTGTGACTGCTGCAGAAGGATCCCAAATCTTGATACCCCTTATATTACCCCTTATTTCCTTCAAGTTATCTCCTTCACCACACTATTTCAAGCAAATAGCTTCCCCCATATATTCTTTCATAAATTTTTCAGATTTTAAACTCTTACTTAGTATCTGTGATAGAGTTGCCCTGATAATTTCTGTCCCGATTAGTAATTTATGTTAATTTCTCTTTGCTGTACACTGTCTCTTCCTTCTGTCATTTCCCACAATGGTATGTTGTTAGTGCAGCCACTAATCAAGACCAAGTTGTACATCTTGTATCCCCTTTTTGCTGTCCTTAACAACATGTAATTTTTTATGCGATTGTTTTGTTGGTGCAGCCAAAACTGAGGATCAGCATTCTACATACATTCCAAAGCATATAGTTAAAAAAAAAAAAAAAAAGTTTTACAATCACTTCTCAATAAATAGTGTTGTGAAGTATAACACCAAATTGCTCTATAAGCAAGCACTACTCTCCTGTAATATATTATCAGCCATGTTTGAATCCTCTATTCTGTATCAGAAGAAAGGGGCTTGAATAGAAATTAATGATCCGCTTTATGCATTATAATGTAATAATATGACTTTTAGTATATCATCTCCAGGATGTTCTTCTCAAAGTCCATCATTGCTGTCAGTACAGATGAAGTTTCTGTAAGTCAGACCAGAATTTCTCTATAATATATTTTCATAAAAGACAAATGATACTAAGAGATCTTCTCTGAAACTTCTAACCAAGAAGGTACTGTACCTTTCCAGTTATGTACAAATACTAAGTAAGCAGACTTGTGATTAAAGAGTCTTTGTCTTGCACAATATTTCTGCCAGGAAATCTAATGATTTTATAACCCGTTTGTATAAAAAATAAGCATTTTACTCTTGAACTCAGCCCCTTCAGATCACTTCTGGCACCAACTATTTTGACTGCTAAATGATTTCTATATTATCCTTTTAAACAAGTGAAATACTACCAGTGTCAATATTTACATCTGCTAAACAACAGATGGCATTTGATTTCTTGGTTCAGATTCCCTGAGGGTTCCTTGAATGAAGGTGATGTTTTGTGTTTGGAGAAAAAAATGGGCTACTCTATGAGAAGTTCTGGTTTTTTTGCATATGCCTTGGACACCATTTTCTGTCTTTTTGTGTGCTACTACATATTTCTTCTAAGGAAGATCCTTTGTCTTGTAGGAAAATGCTAAATCTATTGCAATTATTTTATTTTTCTTCTTCTGCTTCGCATGCCTGGGTGTTACAAAAACAGATAATTATTTGGGACTTAGAACACAAAGAATTCTGGCCTGCAAACTAAAAGTATGATATTTTTCACAAGATATCTCTTGTGAATTACAAGCCTCACTATATATGCTGTCAATGAGCAATGAAAATGTCCTAGGCCTCAGATTTCTTTTGTCTACATGCAGTTTATCAGGTAGGAAACTTTCTACAACATGAAATGATTGCTGTTCTCTCACTCAGCAAATTAGTATTCGAGAGACAAAAAGATTAATGAATGTTCCTCAGGGTTGTGCAGCAAGGTCTGCACAACTTGGGGCCCAAAATACAGATGGAGAACAAAGGTGTGTTTAATTAAATAACGCAGGAAACGCTAATTAACTGCTGCTCTGCACTTTAGCTGCCTCTCCCACAATGGCAGGATGAGAGCAAAACAACACAAATACAGTCTGGAAATATTTTAATCCTTTTTACCACTCCCTTTTCTCATATGATCTATGATAGGACAGAGTATAAGGCAAATAAAACCTGCCTTTTAAAAATAAGGAATCAGCTGCCTGGTGCAAATAGTGAAGATCTACTGAATTCATACCATTCTACATCTAAAAACACACTTGAGAGCCTGGACCTGAATTTCAAATTGTGAAATTTTCACTATCCCCAGAACTATAAGCTGTATTTAGCTCTATTTCAGCTATGTAATTAATTATGCATAGTATAATCCGTGGTATATACTGAACAAAAAAAAATCTCATGTGCTTTACTCATGGCACCCAAACCGAACTCATAAATCAAGACTCACTGTCAGGCAGAACATATCCACATGAGCTGAAAGATTCTGCTACAGTTTCAAAAATATTTAAATTAATCATTTCTTTTTAATATTTCCCATTATTAATATAACTGGCAGATCAATCCTGCACTAGAAGTCTGTTGTTGAGTTTCACTGCAATCTTGCAGAAATTTTCAGAGGACTTCATGTAACCCTCATCTGTTTTTAAACACTGACCCCAGATTAATACAATAAATTTAGATGGGCCAATCTGTTTGTTTGTTTGTTTCTGAATATTCTTATGTTTCTGGCCCTCTTCCTTCCTTTTTCCTTTTTTTTTTTTTCTTTTAATTCTGTAAAATGTCCTTGCAATATGACTAGCTCATTCTATTTCCTACTGTATGTCAGAAAATTCTATTCTACATCCCCACAATATCCATGTTAGTGAAGACTCTTCCTGTTGAAAAAATGTTTCTGTTACTTAGCCTTGAGTCAGCTACTATCTTTTCCTTAATGTCTTCATCTTTCTCTAACATCAGTGTTCTGTTTCTCACAACTTCTGATTTATTGTGTTTTGCCTTTTTTGTTCCCCATGGGGATAACAAATAGAGTATATATTTCTAATTGTGTTGTCCTTCCACTGAATCAATATGGCTACCTATGCTAAGATTTCTTTTCCATGTCTGTATGTCTGTGTGGCTGTACCACCTTGATCTTGCAATAAGCTTTTATTCTCAGATTTTTCAGCCATATTTTTCATTCAACCAGTTTACCTCCATATGTTCTCAGCACTCAACATCTGAGGCATTGTTTATACATATTACTGCATTTGATCTCCCTCTGTTTGTCTACATTTAATGTTACTGTGATTCTTGAGGCAACATCTAAACATAGTTAGGTTCAAAGAAGGACTATCTCATATGACCGTAATATATTTTGTGTTAGAAAGTTATTGAACTTAAGTTTAGAAAACTTAAAATGTTCTATTGGTAGGGCAAGACCTCTCAAAATATTCTCATATTGACACAACCTGGACAAGATTGCTCAAAATATTCTGACACAACCTAAGACCCCATAATTTCATTATTTTTTCTATAGGCATTCTTATCATGTATATACAGAACAGTAATCCATCTTCTCCTGACTCTGTGATTTACCTTTTCTAAAAGTCCGATTTTGCTCTGCTGTTTACCATCCTAGTAGGGGAGGAGATGGCTGTGCTGCACACTTTAGAAGTGAGCAGAAATCTATGTTGGCAATGTTTTGTTGGTAACACTTGTCAAAAATGAAACAGATACCTTGCAGTTTAACTTTAGGGTGACTGCCTCAACATTTTTTAAGGAACTTCTCTCATGAAAATCCACTGAAAATGATTAATTTTTTGAAGAGGAACACAGAATTTGCTAATACTATGGAACACCCTGTACATTCAGATAACAGACCTCTACTACAAATATTGATATTTTACCCCAAAACCATGTAGAATAAGAAGAACAAGCATGATTACAGGTATGATAGCCTTTTCTGCAGAGAACAACACAGATGTGAAAAATTTCTTACATAAAAAAGTCAACTACAGAAAAATAAAATAATTCTCAAATATATATATATTATATATATATAATGTATGTATTATTAACAACTTTTTAAGCCACAAAAGTAAATAAAGAAAATAATTCTGGTTCTGTAAAATTGTTCTTAAAGATGAATTCATACCCATAAAAATTGTTTCAAATGGAATGTTGCTTCTATTCTGTTACTAAAGAGGCAATATGGCATTAGTTTCCTCCCTCTCCCATTTCAGATGTTCAATGTTATTCATATTTACTCTGTTTTCTGCTTATAGAAAATTATTGTGGCTGAAAGGAAGAGAAACAAACAAAAAACAAAAACAAAACAAAACAAAACTAACTTATTTAAGACTCTTTACTTACTCTGAAACATTCAAAACAAAATATAAACAAGACTGTGTGCTCAGATGAAACTGCTGAGTACAAAAGATGAAGGATGCTTCAAAACTGGGTCAATTCTTAAGGTAGTTCTGCAGTGTAACAAATTTCATCACATTTACAGAATATGTGGGACAGTTGTTGCTTTGCTGATGAGGTTTTTGAACATGTGTTCAGTAAAGCAGCTAGTTGATGCATTATGTGCCATGAAATCACACCCTAGCTCAAGCTAGGCAGCTATACCCTAGCTCAGGCTTTGTTGAATATACCTTACTTAATTGTGCTCTCTTTTTTCTAAATGAACAGATTTGAGGAGATTTGATGTCTACTAACAAATTTTAATTCTCATGGTGCTTTAATTCTTTTAGCACAACAAAAACTGTCTAGAAACCTTACTGATGAAAATAAAAATCTAAATACCATATTTATATGTAAAAGTTAATATTTTCTAACCTTCTCTCTCTCTCTCTCTCTCTCTCTCTCTCTCTCTCTCTCTCTCTGCTACTGTGGTGACCAAGAAAAATCATTATTGACTATTGAAGAAAATGGAGAAAAACAGGAGAAGTTTAAAACCTTGTATAAACAATAAGTTTGCTTTGCAGATACAAAAGAAAATTGTATCTGCATGAGGATATGTTGTGAAATATTTTTAGGTGAAAGATGTAATTATAACTTAAGATGACTGAAAAGGAATGCTATGTTATACAAAAGGGTTTAGTATGTGCGAAGAAAGATTTCTACATGATCCAGCTAAAGGGTACTAAGTACAGTACAACAAGGGTAGGAAACAAGGGGAGATGAGGGTCTTTATGAAGCATCCTGACTTCCCTATTACATTTGATCTACCTCAGGTATACCCTAGTTAATCTTATTTTCCATCTTTCCTTGTTAGATAAGTACGGTACACAGAACAGAGTAATCCTATACTCTGTTGTAGGGCAGCTGAATAGGGTGACTACTGAACAGGTTAACTGAAGTGACTTTTTATGATACAAGGATACTCATACATGACAAGAAATCTCGGAGGATCAGTAATAGTTAATATTAGTAAAATGCTCTGAGGGTGCCAGGTACAATCTGCCTATAAAATGATTGCAGTGAAGCTTACCTTTTGCTATGTGAGGGGCCCAGTTTGAGTAATTCCCTTTCCTCTTTGGTCATTATCACTTCTCAGGCATAAATGAACAAATTCTTAAAGGACTTGAAGAGGAAACATGCATAGAATGTACTAAAGGCCAGAGTAACTGCTTTCATTGGTCTTGACCTGAGAGAACAGTACAGAGTTTCAGGTATGAGAAAGATAAATAAACTTATTGATGATGTAATGAGTTGTGGATAACAAATAATTTTGAAAGGAAGATTTGGATGAAGTATGTGGCAAGAGAAATTACATCTTCTGTCAGGAAGAAAACAATGCCAAACTCTCTGACAGAAGACTCCTGGCTAGTGGGGTGAACCTCATCATGGTTTCTGTTTGTATGGAAACTTACCAATAAAAAAAGCAGCAACAAAGGACCAGAGATATTGGATGAAAATAAATCTCTGTCAAGCAACAGCAAATGACTCAATCTTCATTTCTGTGAGAATTAATTGGCTAACATAGCTCTTGCTCCACTCTCCTGGAAGGCACTTGATGATGGCCATACGCACTTACACACTGCTGCACCAGCTCTGCCATCTGAAACTTCTATATCTAATTTTCTAAGCCATTTTTCCCTTCCCCCTATGCCAATCAAGATTGTTATGGATGAGTTAAAAAATAAATCACGCATAGTGCTATTATTCATCTGCTTTTATCTGCTTTTGAGAGTAAGGTCAGGACCTCTGGAATAAGAGATGTATCCTCCCGAATGGATACAGGCTTATACTACAGGGTGCTTCTCCGCTACCTGCATGAATAATATGATACAATAAACCAGAGCAATAGACTGTCACGTTTTTCATTATTTATTCATTGCATTTTTATAGTAAAAATCTTCCACAGGTTGTCAGAAAAGATCCAGCCCTCCACATCATCCTTTTCCCGGTGGGTCTAGCTAATCTACTTCAGTATCAGGCTTTTAAAGTCAAAACAAACCAGTGTATTATATTTCTAGAATAACCACGGCTCTTCTTCTAAAACTTACTTCTTATAGAGGTACCCCAAATCTTTTTTTTCTTAGCTATTCATTGTAAAGGATAGAATAAATAAAGAAGGATTTTTAAAATGAACATATAATATACAACTGGCAGAAAAATTCAAGGTCAAGATTTAGCAAGGCATAATTATAGTAGTTCCTAATGATAGCTTTCTGTCCCAGGAGTAGAAATGTCTCCATCAAAGCTTTGTCTCTTGAATATTCCATATTTAGTTTGACTGAATGCATCCATATAGAAAACACACAAAGATAAATGTTTGACAATACTTTGAATATCCCATGTGTTCCTTAGGCAAAAGCTCAAAAGAATAAAAAATAAAAACATGGAAAAACACAGTATCTAAAGGAGAGTTCTTAAAATTAGAAAAGTTATTTCTAATTTTGTGACTGACCACTTACTCAAAGTTAGGAAGTTATGTGATCATTCTGCAACCCCTTTTTCTCTTTTGCACTTAAATGTTTTTGAGTTATGCTTGAAGGCATGGAAGACAACAACTTTTGCCTATGAAAGAACCCTTGACTTCTTCAACTCAGAAGTATCTAAGCCTGATTAGTTCTCTGACTTTGTCTGAAAGTAACCTGCATCTACGGTGGAACACAAGGAATTTTACAGAAGCAATGGAAACTAGCAGAAAATTAGAGCAAGCAAATGCATTTGTTCTTGGTTCTTGTCCCTATGAAAAAGTCAAGACTTTATCCATATAATCTGTCTAGAAAGAGAAAGCTGAGAGGAAAAGTTTTATGAGCTCCCATAAAAATATGCATGTCTTAGCTTGAATTCCTGTTCCTCCATAAGCAAACTTTGGGGGATGCAAGTGACTGGGAGCACAGAGAGCAGGGCAGGCAAACAGGACGTGGCACTGCAGTTGGAAAGACAGGTAGCATGGGAAGCTACAAGGTGGGTGGGTTTCTTCTATTCTTGGAGCAACAGAGGAAGGTGTCTTCTACTGAAACAGAAATGGTGTCCACCTGCTGTGCCTGCTGGGCTGAGGTTGAAACTCAAAGGGGCCACAACCTCCCCATGCAGATGCCTACACCCAGACAGACCTCCCAAGTCTCCTCAGTTCCAGGGAACTCCAGAATCTGGAAGTCCCCCTGGGTCTTGATGCAGAAGTGGCTGTCATGGTTGTAAGTGTGCCCAGCTGAATGAACTTTTCAAGCGTCCAGGAATCTGTGTGGGAAATTTACAAATGTCATTATGTGCCGAGACTGGCCTAGGAATGGGCCTACCCGAAATCGTGGCAAGGGGAAGATAAGATAGCCTCAGAAACTGAACCAACAAACTCGACCAACTCACAAGGCAAGTGAGACATCTCTGCCAGGAATCAGAGGAACAGTCTCTCCCTTACCTCTGAAGTGCTCTTCCATGCCCTTCATCCTCCCAGTTGACTGGGAGCCAAGAAGAAGGAAATGACCAGACCATGTGAACAATTGGCCGCATGGCTGGTGCATGGTGGGTAACATAACTGGAACACTGGAATAGAGGGTTAAAAGCTCTTCAGAAGAGACAGGCAGGGAAGGAGAGGCAGGGCTGTTGCCCTCTATGTTAGGAATGGATTGACTGAGAAGAGTTGTCTCTGAGAAACAGCCATGGACAGGTTGAGAGCTTGTGGGTAAAAGCTAAGGCCTAGACCAGACACCTTGTGGTTAGGGTCTACTACAGGACACCTGATCAAGGGAAGCCTGTTGATGAGGCCTTCTGGCTTCAAGTACAAGAAACGTCATGCTCGCACACTCTCATCCTGATGGGGACTTCAGCCACCTGGATGTCTGCTGGAAAAGCTACGCACCAGGCTGTGAGCAATCCAGGAAACTCCTAGAGTGTGTTGGGGATAACTTCCCTGTCCACATGCTGTGACAAATCAGATAGAGGAGAAGTATCACTGGACTTGGTGCTCACCAATGCAGATGAACTCATGAAAGAGGTTAAGATTGGAGGCAGTCTGGGCTGTAGTGACCATACCCTCGTTGAGTTTGTGATCTCAAGGAGTATGGACCTGATGAAGAGCAGTCAGGACCCTGAACTTTGGAAGAGCAAACTTTGAGCTATTTAAAGGCCTAGTGGATGAGATCGCCTGGAACACTGTCCTTGGGGACAGAGGAGCTGAACAGAGCTGGCAACTCTTTAAGGGATACTTTTCTTAGAGCACAAGAATTCTCCATCCCCATATGTAAGAAAGCAAGCAGGATGGGCAGAAATCTTGGATGGCTGAGCAAGGACCTGCTGGTCAAACTGAGGCCCAAGACAGAAATGCACAGGCAGTGGAAGCAGGGACATGTGGCCTGGGAAGGGATAAACAACAAGGGAGAACTGATAAAAAGAGACATGGAGAAGTCTGAGGTACTCAGCAAGTTCTTGGCCTCAGTGTTCACTGCCAGTCAGGCTGCCCATGTCTCTTGAGTCTCTCAACCTCTAGGCAGGGACTGGAGGAGCAAAGTTCCTCCCACTGTAAATGAAATTCTTGAGACCACCTCATGAGACTGAACAGGTACAAGTCTGCAGCATCCGATGACACGCATCCCAGGGTCCTGAGGGAACTGGCTGATGGAGTTGCCAAGCCTCTGGTGACTGGAAAAAATGAAACATCTTTTAAAAAGGGTAGAAAGGAAGACCTGGGGAACTACAGGCTGGTGAGCCTCACCTCTATGGCTAGGAAGGTCGTGGAACAGATTGTCCTGGATGCAATGTAAAGGCATATGCAGGACAAGGAGGTGATCTGAGACAGCCAGCATGGTTTCAACAAGGGCAAATTATGCCTGACCTATCTGGTGGCCTTCTATGATGGAGTGAATGCATCAGTTGACAAGGGAAGACTGGCTGACAACTACCTGGGCTTCTGTAGAGCCTTTGACATGGTACCACATGACAACTTGATCTCCAAACTGGAGTGATATGGATTTGAAGAGTAGACCATTCAGTGGATAAGGAATTGGCTTGAAGAATGCACCCAGAGAGTCTTGGTCAACGGCTCTTTGTCCAGGTGGAGGCCCAAGACAAGTGGTATCCCTCAGAGGTCTATCTTAGGACCAGAGCTGTATAACATATTTATCAATGACACAGAGAGTGAGATTGAGTGTCCATTCAACAAATTTGAAGATGACACCAAGCTGAATGGTGCAGTCAGTGCAACAAGGAAGGAACACCATCCAGAGGGACCTGAACAAGCTTGAGAAGTGGGCCCAGGTGAACCTAATGAGGTTCAACAAGTCTAAGCACAAGGTGCTGCAGCTGGGTTGCCATAATCCCATTCAGTTTGACAGAAGGTATTTACCAATAGAACACCATACCTTTTCTTGCACTTGTATTTTTAATTGAAGGATAGTTCTTGCTGGATTGCTATTAGGAAAAAAAAAATCTTACTGCAAGACTTAATCTTGGGTGCACACTTTACAGAAGGTAAGTCAAGATGAAAATGATTGTATCTTCTTCCTTTAGAATCTGACAGTTTTGAAATTTCTCCCTGAAGTACACACATCTGGCCTGAGTCACAATACATTAATAATATTTTACTCTTGAAACCAGCAAAAACTAACTGCAGGAAGTCATAAAAAGTAGACAAGAAGAGTCTGCTTTGTGAAAGACTTTAGCATTTCTGCAAAGTGAGATTTTGAAGTGATTCAGAAAAGATTACACTATTTTGATAATAAAATTGAAGACCTGGAAAACAGGTCACAATGTTCACATCTTAAGAATTACAGCTATTACAGAGGAAAGTGAAGGCAAAGGATGATTGAATTTGTAACCACTCTGATAATCAGAATAATCAGAGGATGTGTTTTCCCACACAAATGGGAAATGACAGCAATACATGGAATCATTCATCTGAAATCCAGTGAAGAGGACGAGCCATGTGTTACCTTTACAAAATTGCTGACACTTTGAAAAAGGTAAAAAGTTTAACACACATTAGGGAAAATGTAAAATGAAACTCAATATTTTTATTACATTTCCATGAACAAAAAGTTGGAGAACAGTGAAAGCAAGTGTATTCTCTCTAGTGCAGAGAATGCACACTGCTACTTTAATTCCAGAAAAAAAGGCAGATTTAGCCAAACAAATACATGTACCATGCAATTATCTAAATGCTAGGTGAGAAACAATTTACAGTCAATTGAGGAAAGACAG